CTTCACCAACTGCGGGTCGTAGTGCAGCGGCAATCGTCATGACTATTACAACTGACCTGATTGTCAACACCAAAATTAAAAAACCCGATGACATATTGAAAACAACGAAGGATTTGATTGCACCAAGCGAGCAAACGCGCGAGAAGCCTATTCACGTTTGCACGGCAGCATTGACGTGGTAAAGGACTTTGGATTAATGTTGGTGCATGGGGCTTCTGATCTGTTCCGGACATCAGCAGTGTTATGAAACATCATCATCAGAGTTGCAGTGTTATGAAACCTTAGAAATACACGTCGGTTTTATCAAAATCGGAAATCGAGCGGGCTTGCGGTTCTTTCTCTCCTATGTCTGAGAGATAATAACAATCAGCTCAACGTCATTCGAACATTCCCCTTGGGCCAGAAGCCGAATGCGAGCTCTATCGCACCGAGCCTACGGAGAGAACTCACAGGCTCCTGCGCCATTTCCAGACATCCCACCGCCCGTCTTCAAGAGCTCACTATTCGGACGGCGGCTCTCCAATCACCCCCCACCTCCGGTCGGGGCAGGAGCCCTCTCCTCTGCCTCATCAACCGGCGGCGAGCCGGACGCCAGTCGCGGCGGCCAGATCGGCTGGGAGGAGGGGGGGAGGCTGGAGGGGGGTCACGTGCCGGTCAATCACCCGCCGTCCGACTGTCGGCCACCGAGCAGCCATCGACGCCGCTCGTCACGCGCCCAACTGTCCCATCAGAGCCGGCGTCTGAGGCGTTAGACGTCAGAGGTCCGCTCACGACAGATGGGGCTGGTGGTGGACCAGTCAGCACACCGGCGTCGGCGCTGCCCCCCCTCCGCCAGCAGGTCCGCTCAGGGCAGGCCCGGTAGAACACATCGGAAGGCGACTCCCCGAATGAACCCCGTGGGATCACTTCCTCCAGATCACCTCCCATCTGAATCTCTCGCATCTGATTGCCTACGGATAGAGCCCCCCCCCCCCCCCCCGTTAGAACATTCGGCAGTGCTCCCGTTATATCACAGCGCTGCTGTCCAGGCTGCAGGCCACGGCAGCCGCCTGTGATCCGCCGATAGGAGTCATCTACTCAAAGCAGAACTCGTCTCCACGACATTTGCGAAGCCCCTGGCTAGTGATGCAGGATAGGCTTTCGGTGCATGCCGGCAGGCGCTGTAAAGGTCCAGGCCCCGGCTGGTGTCACCGGTCCAACAGACGTCGAGTGCTCGGTTTTCAGTTCAAACTACCCGGCAAATGTGTTGCTGCACTTCTTCCGTTTTTGCGCCGTTCCGTTTGTTTCTCCGATTGGTTCCAGCACTCACGCTGTGTTTCATATGGAAAACGAAAAGCATCAGGTTATAGGTTGCCCAGGTCGCGCGAACCAGTCATCAACAGTCTTTTGCGCATCACGGTGTTCAACTGGCATTGGTGGTGTAGCGGAAGATATCTGGCAAAATACTACAGACAGGCAGAGCGATGAAAAACATACCGAACGATGGAAAACAAATGCCAGGCAGGCAGTCGATGTTTATGATATCCAACGGGTCCAGTATTCGTTAAGGAGCTGACCTGAGGCTGCCTGTGGAGTTATGGCACAACCTGGGTGTACATTTCCGCTAGTCACGATAACGTGATCTTGATCTCGTGTTAGCGGGCAGGCACCGACAACCGAACCGCGCCGTGCCCCGGCTCCGGCTCCCCGAGCCTGGGTGCTGCGCGACCACCGCCGCCGTCGCCGCCAATGAAGCAGCCTCGTCCCAATGCGACACTGCAGGGATCGCGCCAGTTTGGCCTCCAAACGGGCCAGCGCGCCACATGCGCTCCGGTGGTCCGCATCCCCGCTGTATTCATTCGCAGGCGGCGCCGCAGAATTAAAAAAAAAACTTGAGACGAGCTGGAGAAAAGACCGGCTCACTGCCTGGGCCACGTGTTTGCGCGGCAGATCTGTCAGGGATCTCCTGAGTGGCGGAGCGGAAGAAAAGGAGGGCGCTGCTAGCTTTGTAAGGCGTGGGAATCGGATCAGCTGTGGCCTTTGGTGGGAGGATGTAGATGGGGAGGAGGGGGGGGGGGGGGGGCTGGCTGGCTACGGCACTGGGGCTAGATGGTCCGTTTTATGAAAGCGTACCGCATGTAGAGGCCCTACGCATACTGAAACATTTCGGAACTTGAGCGTGTGTGTTCGTAATTTTGGGCTTTCTAATAGAAATTCCTGGACTCGTAGTTTTGAATGCTTCTTAAACGCCAGCAGCCTGCTTGCTGTTACACCGTGAAAACGAATGGCCCAAAATAGCCCCCGCCGGTTGGGGAAGGGCGTCACCCTGGCTGCTTTTCAGGGAGCCTGGGAAACGGCACACGGCAGCGTCGTGAAATTTGGTGTTAGGAAGGCATTCATTTCTAGGGGATGTTTAACAGGCGAAAAATTGGCCAACTGTCATTTCAGATCACTCATCTCGGAAACCTTGCAGACCATCTTGCGATAGACGTGGCCTCAGGCTGTACGGTGGTAGTAAATGACGATTTGGGGGATGCCATAAGCATATGTAAAGTGATGGCATGCTCCGCGTACGTACGCTAATTTGGGTGGGCTGAAGGTATGTCATGGCCACGCAGGCTAATTGCATGTAATTGCGTTGTTCGACCGGTTTTCGTTCGGTTTTAAAGCATCATGTAACATCTAATTCAGCTTTTAATTTGGTTTGAAAATAACATAATCTGTTTCATAAAACGGAATCCTGTACATTTGGTTCCAAATTTAAAGTTGGTCCGACGTTTTAAATCAACGGCTTGATCCAAAGGGCGTCAAACGGCACGTATTGTTAGTCTGAAAATGCCAACCCATCTACAGATTTCTGTTTGGGCTCATCTCAGAGTTTAACTGGGGACCTTTCTTCCTTACCTTACCTTCCTTCCTATACCTGCCACACATCATATGCATACCATGCATATAATATATCAGTAGAATCTCCGCCACCCGGCAAAAGTTAAAATCACAATGTTCAAACACCGATCTTATGCAATCATGCTGTAAGCAGGTGTTTGGCCGTTCGAAATGTATTGCATGGGGCAAATTGAGCCATTGCCACGAAATAAAGAAAACCCGGAACCGAGTGAAACAAACAAATCGCGGTTGAAAAAGGCCACAAAACAGTGCTAATAGCCTGCTAGTAGTAAAGGTTGGGCCATTCTAGGTGTCATGGGCACCTAGGAATTCAGCGTGCCACTCGCCAGTGGAAACAGGTAGCGACGTAAAGATCAGAAACCACCGCACTTGGGTGAAAATCTGCCCTGCGCCATCAAAGTTCACGGCAAACTTCTCACTTTCTTCGGCTGGACAAGCAAGGTGATGTCTGAGAGGAATATATTCGTTCTCATGAAGAACCGTCTTCAGTGGAAATGATGGTCATATTAAACGAAAAAGCTCGATGGAATGGAACCGGGCCCTTTAAAATGCATGCAAATGCACGGTACCCTAGACTATGTCCGCTTTCACGAGACTTGAGTTAGTCAAGCGACCTGCTGGTGGGGGCGGTTAGCCACTCACTCACAAATATCATAGCTTAAAAACTGGCAGACGACGCCATTGTTCACATGAAGCGATGTCATTCATAAATTTGAGTTGATTTATCTTTGCGGTAGTATTGACCGAAGTCCCATATTCCTAACAAAACGCTACTGTTTTAGATATTTTTAAGAAGCATGCCTCTCGTCTTGAGCCTCCGGCGTACAGGTCTCAGTCAAATAAAGGTTTCAGCGACCTGTATGTGGGGGAGGTTCAAAAACAGAGCATTGGCTGCCTCCCGATCGATTTCTGGCGTCCCCACTAGAAAAACGGAATAAGCTCTCGCAAACGCAGATTTGGGCATCCTCCTCCACATGACATTTCTAAACATGGCTTCAAAATACCTTGCGCAGCCATCATGGAATCTGCGGAACTCACGCCCGTCGATTTAGATATATGTGATATTACGTAAGGGTTATGTCCGGTTCCTGAACTGGACCGTTTTTAGCTCTGACTTGAATAATGCAATCTTCAACGCACCATGTGCTTTAAGTAATGCGTCCCAAAGTGCTACTTTTTGTTCGTGTCAACCTTCCTTCCCAATGGTGTTGCATACACCCAAGGAGCACTCTGAGGTCATTATAATTCACTAAGTTTATATTTAGTTTGCCTGATGGAAAATAATGGTTCAGTGCTACAGCTCGTCCTCCTAATCCGCCAATGGGCCTGCCTATGTTCCTGCCTACTCGTAAGCTTGCTTGCAGACGAAAATCCATGAAAGGCAATTCTTCTATGCTGATGCTTGGGCCTAACTTTTTGCACTTTTTACCCTTAAAGCCTAAGCTGTTTGTTGTACCCCCTGCTTTACTTGTCAGCGTCACCCCGTGACAGGTCACGATCACTATAGATTAAAAGGCCGTTATCATTAAGGCAATGACGTGTTGCCAGGTGATTTAATAACACCCTCTTCTTGCCCTCAGATAAATGCCTGCATCAATATTCGGGTCCGGTTCCAAGCCTGGGGTCACTTCGATGTCCATAGTTTAACGAACAACTCAGTAAGGTACGTTGCCTATCCGCAGTGCGTGACAACGGATCCTAAGAACAGGAGACGGACGCCTCATGTCTTCTTGCGTTCCAGGGGAAGGGCAATGCGAACACGAGCGTTATTACGGTGAGTCAAATGAGATGGCATTGTACATCCGGTTCGCCTCAATTTCCAGGGCACCTGGTGAGAGGAAACGCTTAGCAATCGCAAGTCTTGTAATAGGCAAATCACGGTCCTTCAGACTTCTCCCGCCAGGGAAGACATCTCTTCTGTATCGTTGTGTAAAGTATATGCTGTTTTAAGGAGGAAAGCTGCCGGCTGGGCTCCAGACCTGGACAGCCACAGCCGGCGTCCGCACATACCGGCCTGTGCAAGGCTGGGCCCAGTGGATCTGCTCCGCGTGCCGCCACGCCGCCAAAACGGGACGATGTCAACTGCCGCGGCGCTGCTTTCGGCAGCAAACGCCTGCACTGGAACCGTTTTATTAAAATTATCGCGCGCTGCCGTCAACCTGTACAGCTCTGATCGTGACCAGATACAAAACGTCGACACGTCGACATGGCACGCGTCTGGCCTCGCTTGCCCGCGGAAACCATGGCAACACTTCCGAGCGACAGGCTCTGGTGATTTCGATCAGCACAACACAACGGCGCACGTGGGTTAATAAGCGCAGTAACAGAGGCGTGATTGCGTAACACTTCGGCCGTGCCACTACGGGCTCACGCAGACTGATATGATAAAGCGAGTAGAACACCGAGATATTGAGCCCTAAAAATTCCACTCAGTCCGCTCCACCCATTAACGCCACGGTCGGTCACGAAGAGACACTGGTCTTCTCAGGAGCTGTGCAAGTCTGGCTGTCAAGACAGACCGACTCGGATCCCGTGGGCAGATGAACGGAATTCGTCGTCACTGATAGCTATGCACATTTTTACTGATAAAAAGCATCAAGTGGCTTAAGCACATAATAGAAAGTACTCAGTAGCTACATATGGACATCTGTATATGTTAAAGACCGTACCTATCTAAATCATTCCAGCAGATACGTGGATCTAAGATGGGACATGGTTCGGTACACAGTGTCTCATGTTTAAAAGGCAGGTGGGCGTGCCAACCCTCGCTGAACTAAAAATTACGAGCTTGAGTTTTCTTGGGGCTGAGTTTTTCTTTTGCTCCGGTCATCAATCAATTAGATCAGCATACTGGAATGTTCTATTCGAAAATTTTGCTTTGCATATCCTACCACTTTGCTCGAATGTTCTGATCTGTCTGTTCGTGTCCCTATAAAGCGATGTCAGCCGTGATAGGCTCGTTGCGGCATTGTTAGCTGCTTTGTGGATTGATAGCATATGAGGTCAAAGATGGAGACCATTGCCGAAAATCAGCATAAGAAATCAGGTACTTAAACGCCCTATGTATGAGTTGGACAGCATAGAAGGAGCTGGAGCGGCAAAATTATTTTCAAGTAGGTGTGTGGAAAGTTATGGCATTGCTCTATGGCTCTTCAGAATTCTTTTCTTTTGCCAGCCGCCCGGGCTTTACGCTGCAAAATGTCTGCTAAATGTTTTTTTTCTCTCTCAATATGGACCCATGGAAGTGTGGTTCATGAGCGGTGTAACAACGCTGCGTTACGGTTCACTCTCGTCAGGACTTATACCCAAGTCAATAGATGCTGAGTGCCCAATGTTATCTCGTCAGCCAGATAGATTAAAATCGACTGTTAAGTGCGTCAAAACAATTTCCTAGATGTTTGCGTCGTCTGTAAAGAGGGCGCTCGAATATTCGCGTGAATCTAATTTCCTTTTGATTTGGAATATGCACCGGACCCCAATGTTCGGTAGCGTACCTACGCCAGTCCTTTGAATGAGAATGCTCAGGTCTTAATGTTTACGTTTCGTCGTCACCCAGCCGGCTGCGAAGCACTTTTAACTTAAATAATCGTGGCAGGAGCAGGCTGCCGCTCCGCGCGATTGTCTGTTTCTGAGCTGAAATCATGCGGTATCACGTTGGGCGACCACGGTCACTCACAACTGCGGGTTCGTGAATAACAACGTCTCAACGCGGCCACTTAGGTTGGGATCGTAGTCAACGTTCCTTCGCATTCTCAACCCAAGTTCAACTTACTGACACCAGTGTGAGCATGCCAAAGGGAAAGCCAGCCGTGGGAAATCATGCACGTTCGTTCGACACTTGATCGAGCAGCGAGCAGTACAGCACTGCTCGTCGGAGACGCGCACCCAGCTCATTCGTCGCCACGGTCATCTCTACCAATGGATGAACGTTTAGCCGGCGGTAAATGACGTGTCACTTGTGTCTCGTCCTGATTGTTCATGCCTTGTCGTTACTAGCGGGCCCTCTTGCACGAGTCCAGGACCTCAGCCTCAAGCACTACACTGGCATCGATTGTCACTGACACTCTCGATACACTCACCATGCCCGCGTATTCACACATCACTCTCGCACACTGAAAAATTCACAGACGACTGCGGGATGCTCGCGGCTTTCGATCGCATCTGTTCGGGTGCGCTACGGTCACGTCCCACGAGCACGAGCGATGCCGTCGCGGCACAGTCGCACCCTGCGATTTCCACCGGCAGGATAGCCACCCTTTTCTAGAACACTTGTCTTGCTGTCGCCATCTCTCAGCTGCGCTGGACTGGCGCAGGGTTCTGCGCGCTCGCCCAGCTCCCTTCGAGATCGATGTTCACCTCAGTGTCTACAGGTTGTCGTCACCGTCCTGGAAGATGTAGGTGGACCAGTAGACTAGGTTGAAGAACGCAAAAACCAGTGGAAACGTGATCCTGGCAATGACGTCAATCCTTTTTGAGCGTGTGGGAAACCTGTGAAGGAAGGTACTGTCAGTCAAACTGCTGAGGCATAGAGAGGCGTTTCGGCGCCACCTATGTGCGTGTGTGTGGCCAGTGCCAGTGATAGCAATGTATGTATACAATGTTGTGAAAGGTCGCTTCAAGAAGGGCAACTGATTGAGACGCAAAGTGCCTGCTCAAAAGGCTTTTTGGTGCCGTATTGCGAAGCACTCGAAAAATAATTCCCAAGAAGCTGTGGCACCAACACCAAAAGGCCGACAGCTTTCTTGTCTGCCTTGTTCTGCGCAGCGCGAGCTGACTCGATAAGGCCAAGTGATGATGAATATAACATGCTACGATGGCTCACCCTGCATGCCGTTTGAAAGCACGCCATCAATGCTGAGATATATATAGGACTAGTTATAATTTAGTGGGCTCCACGCACGTGTTTCCTAGCAGCGCGTGATTTCTTAGGCGAATTGTTTGGAATTTGAAATGCTGAGAATCGTATAGAGTGTAAGAACATTAAAACGCTTTAAAGAAGTATTTTGAAAAGTTTGAACAGTTGAGCGACATACATAGTGCGACGGAACGAGGAACAAGGCACTCCTTCCTGGCTGACGTAGCCGTTCAGGCATGGATTCAATGAGATAAATAGAGCCATTTCCCCAGTGACAAAACCTGCTTGTCCTTCATCAAGTCTAAGCACTAAAGAGCTCCGTATTGCACCGTTTTGTGGACGTAATCGCGCACCAAGCGGCCCCGGTGGCCCCACCATTGGTGCTGCTCCGTATTGCACGGTTTTGTAGACGTAATCGCGTACCTCCAAGCGGCCACTCCGTGGGCCCACCATTGGTGCTGTCGGAACCCGGTCCCATTCCCGCCAAACCCCGTATTGCCCCGCGCACGCTATGTCTCTCAGCCCAATTTCCAACGCGGCTCTCAGCGATACAAATCAAACAGGTTCAGGAGTCGGTTCAGCAGCGTGTTCGTCCTCTGGTCGGATTCCAAGTGAGCCGGGAAGGAGGCGCCTCGCGCCAGATAAGACGCAACCAGGGCCGGGCGATGACAAATACCCCATTCTCCCTCCTCCCCCCCCCCCCCCCCAACGTCGTTTAGCCGGCGGCAAATGACGTGTCACAGCTGTCGCGTCCTAATTGGTGATGCCCTGTCGTCACCAGCGTGCCCCTGGCGCCGGGCCAGTGCCCCGGCATACGGACTGAAGCATTATCCGCCAGCGTCGATCATCGACAAGGGCACGGAAATGGTCACCAATCGGCGGGCTGTCACTGATGTATGACGCTGAGCCATCCCGGCCGCGACAAATGGTCGGCGACCACCGCTGAGCACGGCGCGATGCTCTATGGTCGAACCGAGCACGGTGACGACGAAGCGACAAGAGCCGACACAGGCTACCGGCACACCACTGTGTGCAGGAAATTTTTAGCCCCAGAACGGACAGCTTGAGATGATTGCAATAACCTTTGGAACTCAGGGCCATGCCAAACGGAACTTGTCGGAAGTGCCCTGATAGTGCCACCCAGGCTGTTTAATCTTAATGCAGAGGGTGATTCTCCACATTTGCGCCGCGTGGAGCCAGGCAGGCGCGCGGAGGGTTTGGCGCAGCGCAGCGCCCGCACACCAGAGGCAGGAAGTTCAAGGGACTGTTTCACATTTGCAGATATTGAGGCAAACATTAAATATGATGGAAAAGCTCGCTTGTGACTTTTTATGCCTTAAATACAAAAGATTGCTCTGATTAACAAAATTTCACTTTTAGTAAAGAAGCTCATCATTGCGTCATCGTTTGTCTTTGCTACTGCTCGTCGCTATCCCAGACTGGTCGTATCAGAGTTTTCACTGAAACATACAGCGTGTCTGAGTTGTGGTGCTTCCTCATACTAGCACCCCATCATCCTCAAGTTCGTCATACTTGAAGTTGCCCCAAAAATGTCTGTTTTTTATCATAAAATGTTTTTTTGTGATCGAGACAGGCAAGCAGCAGTTCGATTTGGCGTCGTCAATTGCGTTCTATCGCATGGGCTATGGGAACTGAATCACCGCAAACATGAATATTTCAGTAACCATACTTTTCTTGACTATGAGCACAGGACAGTCAATGAGGTGGGGTTTCTGTGACGTTTCTGTGTCGTGCATGTCTGAGTGACCTTCAAATTGACGACACGAAAAAGGCTACGCAAGTTCGCGTGCGTCAAGCTCAGAATCAAGATGGCTTTAGGTCTTATGTCGCAGGGCTTTGAACTGCAGGGAATTGTCCTAAAATGTCTATCTCAGTTCAAAACCCCATACAAACGTAACCCAGGCCTTTTAAACAGGGACGTTAGGCCGATTTCTTTCCAATGTCGATATTTGTCAAGGCGAAGGAAAGCAGGTACCGAGATACGGTACAAATGGCGCCGAGCTAGACATTCACGCCTGATCCTTTTAGCTGTGGTAACGAGCTGGTCAGATCAATACCCAGTCAGCCAAACATCGGAGCTGTGGTCACGAGCTGGTCAGATCAATACCCAGTCAGCCAAACATCGGAGCTGTGGTCACGAGCTGGTCAGATCAATACCCAGTCAGCCAAACATCGGAGCTGTGGTCACGAGCTGGTCAGATCAATACCCAGTCAGCCAAACATCGGAGCTGTGGTCACGAGCTGGTCAGATCAATACCCAGTCAGCCAAACATCGGAGCTGTGGTCACGAGCTGGTCAGATCAATACCCAGTCAGCCAAACATCGGAGCTGTGGTCACGAGCTGGTCAGATCAATACCCAGTCAGCCAAACATCGGAACTGTGGTCACGAGCTGGTCAGATCAATACCCAGTCAGCCAGACATCGGAGCTGTGGTCACGAGCTGGTCAGATCAATACCCAGTCAGCCAAACATCGGAGCTGTGGTCACGAGCTGGTCAGATCAATACCCAGTCAGCCAGACATCGGAGCTGTGGTCACGAGCTGGTCAGATCAATACCCAGTCAGCCAGACATCGGAACTGTGGTCACGAGCTGGTCAGATCAATACCCAGTCAGCCAAACATCGGAGCTGTGGTCACGAGCTGGTCAGATCAATACGCAGTCAGCCAGACATCGGAGCTGTGGTCACGAGCTGGTCAGATGAATACCCAGCCAGCCAAACATCGGAGCTGTGGTCACGAGCTGGTCAGATCAATACCCAGCCAGCCAAACATCGGAGCTGTGGTCACGAGCTGGTCAGATCAATACACAGTCAGCCAAACATCGGAGCTGTGGTCACGAGCTGGTCAGATCAATACCCAGTCAGCCAGACATCGGGGCTGTGGTCACGAGCTGGTCAGATCAATACGCAGTCAGCCAGACATCGGAGCTGTGGTCACGAGCTGGTCAGATCAATACGCAGTCAGCCAAACATCGGAGCTGTGGTCACGAGCTGGTCAGATCAATACGTAGTCAGCCAGACATCGGAGCTCATTGAGAGAGCGAAAAACGGGCCCTGCATGGAACTGAACTGGTCCAAGTACGAATGCTTCGTACTGATTTGGATGTGAGCCCATCTATCAGCGACAACACTGCAAATGGTTCCGGTCAGCCTGAAAGACCACAGTTTGGCTAAAAGCAGTCATTTCTGGGTGCGTCGGCCTCGAGCGAAACAAATGGCAGGCTTTGCCAGCCATCAGACGGCAAGCATCTGCAGCACTTCAGCACAGAACACAGGAGGGCAAACTTTGAGTTAAAAATGGACGGTCGACGATTCTAACGCGACACGCCAATGGATCATTACGTCTGCGCAAATCACTGCCTGCGTCGCTGCTCGCGGGCGCAAAAAAGGTCCTGTATTGATCACGGACAGATGGGGTCGGAGGGTGGAGCTGTTGGGTAATCAGACTGTGTGGGAGCAAGTCACCTCGCGCCCCATGGGGCGCAGGCAGGTCAATGCAGTGGTCAGCGCCCACCGGGCCTGAAAAGGCTGACTAGCCGACCCTGCAGTGCACACCCGAAATACAGCAGGCCTCAATGGAGCAAGGGAAAGCGCGTATTTGGTCTGGGACCGTGCCCGTCTCGTCTTCCGGGATGAGCAGCTCTCGCCTGAGCGCTGAACAATTCACCGCAAACCACAACAAACCACCGCCGGAAGACGGCCAATTCATAACCACCGCCGGAAGACGGCCAATTCATAACCACCGCCGGAAGACGGCCAATTCATAACCACCGCCGGAAGACGGCCAATTCATAACCACCGCGGGAAGACGGCCAATTCATAACCACCGCCGGAAGACGGCCAATTCATAACCACCGCCGGAAGACGGCCAATTCGTAACCACCGCCGGAAGACGGCCAATTAAGATCGATGACCACGAGCACGCTCTCGCGGCGAGCGGAATAATATATTGAGTCATTTGGTACCCTCGCCAGGGTGCAGCATCGTGGAACCCTTCCTTAGCAGACGATAAATGGACACTAACAGACTCCCTCTCTCGCCGTCAGTGGGCTTTCCGACACGGACTGAGGTGCACTGGACTTCTGGTGCCTCCGCTTTAACGTAACTGCGCATGCTTACTCACAGGACTCATAACTGATCAAGTTAACCCTGCTTCTTTTATGTTCTAATGCACAAATGGCGTCCTATCCGTTCAAGAAGTGCCTGCAGGTCTTGTCGATGGCTCCAAAGAACAGCCACTTCTTCACGATTGGCTTAGCTAGGACAGGCCGGACTGCCGAAGCCCTTTTCAATCTCGTATTTTTCCCATCGCCATTCAGGGTGGGTGGCCGGTTTCCGTCGCAGCCGACATGTCACCGTTTCATCGGAGCCCCGGTCACACGCGCGGCTTCCGGCTGTCGGGGTCGTCGGGGCCGTCGGGGCTGTGGCCTGGACGTCGCGTGGGCGGACGGTGGCGCGGCCAGGGACCGGCCCGTCCGGCCGACCGTGCGCCGTCGCATGCCCGTCGGTGCCCATCATTACCAGGCGGCGAGGCCCCCGTCCCCTGACGCAGTTACAGTCGCGCCATGGGCAACCTGCTAGAGCTGGTCGGTTGACGACCATCATGTGTTCACCGCTATGAGCGTTCGCTGTCGTGTGTCCCCACTGGTTTGCTACGTCGTTTCTGTATGGTGGTAACCAAGCGCGCATCGCCATGTTCGTACAGTTTGTTTATTACGCAACGTCGTAAGGGTTGGGGCAGCAGGCGACCCAGGCTACCGACGAGGGGTATACAATGCATCGGGAAAGGCGGTTCGGAAATTCGTTAGCCTGTGTCCGCTGCGAAGAAGCACGTTAAAACAAAGCCAGACGCTAGCGGGCAAGGGCTCAAATACACATTGGCCAAAGAGTTTGGATATCGTTCAAATAGTGGGCGCGGCTCCTGGCAACTGACTCGCCATAGAGCGCCAAATTCGCTGACCTCAAAGGCATGGGATGCAAAACGTCCTCTTACCTTGATCGTAAGATTGGGCGCTGATGCGGAAAACTTACTTTGACAGCCAACTTTGGCAGCAGCCCTGCTTTTTGCCGACTTGCATGTGGATCTCACACTGTCGGGCCTTGTCGAATCTTCTCTCGCCACGATGCATGAGTGGCTTCTGAAAATATGGGATCACAGACTAAGAACAAGCGGACCAGAAATGTGGGTAACTGCCGTGCCTTCAAGCCACAACCAGAAATGGTTATTCACATATACCGATGCAGAAAGGAACATAATAGTACTCAAAAACAATTTGAACTTAACATTGTCTTGGTCCTTTGGCGAAGTATTGACTTTTTGTTTTTCGTGGCTTCGCATTGCCATCGTGCATTGCAGCAAGCCATTTATCATTCTCGTCTGTCTATTCCCGGATTAAAATAGAGCCATAAATCATCCAAGCTCAATTGGTATGTATTCTATTTTGCATAGAGATGCGTCTAGAAGTAGCCGAAATCGTTACACGGTGGGTATGTGGAAAATAGCCTCAACAAGTGATGCCAAGAAAAACAATCTTAATGGAGGCGAGGCAATGAATAAGGAATGAAGACGCACCCATTTGAATGAGCAAAGGTGGCCGTTTAAGTGTTCCAATGATCTCAGACAAGAAACCGTCGCCCAAAACATTTTTCAAGGGTCGAACAGTATTCTGGGTGTGAATAAAAACCAAGTGCAAAGAACAACCATGTGGTGGCACCAAAAATGATTGTGATAGGAAAAGGTAACAACTAAAGCAAATTACAAGCTTGCAAAATCACAGTAACAGAAACATCGGCGTTATTTCGAGAATGTCGTGAGGATGCCAAGAAAAACTGCACAACGACCCTGTCCAACATGTTTAATGAAATAACCCATTATATGTTATAGTCACCCAGCCCGTTGTGTCAGCGTCCCAGCCAACTGATTTTACTCTCTGTACCTTATCTGTACTATATGTACCACTTGCATTATCTTGTAATCCCACTATGTATCATTGTTGGTCTCTATATAATTTATCCTATTTTGCGAGGTACTTTACCTCCATGCGTTCAGAACCAATTATTTTAAATTCCAGGACAGACAAACGGAACCCACGACAGCGCGTGCGCACGCCTTGCCCAGCTTTGAACCCTCATGAGGCGCGCTCACAGCCCAGCGACGCAGGACTCCGCTGGCCCGCGGAGCCGGCCTGCTGCGCCACGTGCTCACGAGGCGCCGGTGTCGCCATCCGACGGCGGGCGCAGGGTCAGGGCTCGCCGGCGGCCGGCCGCGCTCGCCGGCACCGCCCGCGGCCGGCCGGCCGCTCACCAAACACGGCGACAGCGGCCAAACAGCTGATCAGCATCTAACGACAGTATAACGACGGGGGCGTGCGGCGCGCAGGTCGCCCTGCCAACACGGTGCGCCAGCGCGCTGCAGATGGGATGGGGCGGCGCGGGGCACACGCCGCCGCCGGCTAATGGTGGATGGGTCGGAGACGTCGGCGCTGGAATAGCTGGGATAGCGCCCGAGCGACGCACCGGAGTTGGCCGCTAGAAGTGTGCGTTCGTGCGTGGCAGGGGGGAAAAGGACGCATGACGCCCGCCGGTAGTGCCACTGAGAGCATATTTGGAGCGAGTTTTGTGCTTTTGACGTGTCATGTTCGGGTTCTTTTGAGATTTCTTGACTTGTTATTATCGAGGCACGAAACCAGTATTTTGCATTTGCGTTGGAGCGCGCCTTCCCAGCAGCGCTGTTTAGTATTCTCGGGCATTCTCAGCTCAAAAGTTAACTAATATGGTGTGCTATTCATCGTGACAGATCGCTGATCAGCGCGCTCAACTTGATGTTTTTCTTTCCTTCCGGGCAGCCCCTGCCGCACATCAGTCACTCGCGGCTTTTCGGTGTCGTAACGTGGCTTAACAGCGAGTGCCGTCTCCTAGTAAGGGAAGTGACCAGTGTTCGTAAGAAGTGGAGGGATGGGGGGGGGGGGACGGGGCGTTAGGAACGAAAAGTCGTAAAAGGCTCTGAAATACCAAGCCAAGAAGACTAGAGATGAAATGGGAAAATACGCGGCACTGAATGCGAGAGCAGTGCCCAATGGAACGAGCGAATTGTTCTTGCGTTACCGATAAGGCAGAACTGGATGAGGATCACTGGATGTGGAGAACGAGTCACTTAAACTATACCGGGAACATGTCAAAAGGTTTATGTATTGTTTCGCCGAGAGTACGCGACATCGAAATATACATTGTAGGCGTCAAAAATCCTGCATATAAGGGTCTGGGTTCTGGTGTAAACTCAAGCTTTGATGTCGCCACGACTACGGCTGGGGGGGGGGGGCAAATGGAGGATAGGATGTCAAACTTGCCGAGCAATTTAATGGCTCGGTTGTGTTAGAATTGGTGTAGTTCGACCACAAATATCATTGCATTGCCACGCCCATAAATGTAAGAGAAATCTGAACAATTTGTTGAGGGTTAAATGACACACTTGTAGGTTTGCAGGTTGCATTCTTGCAGGTTTTTCTTTTAATTGTTGTTTGCTTTTGCAGAATTTTTGCAGTTTTAGACAATTTGAATGAAAACGACAATAATTTGGGAGGAGCTCTTCCAAAGAGACAGAAAGTTTAACGATGCCCCAAATATTAACTGTCGGTGTTAACTGTATTTTATATATATATATATATATATATATATATACAACTGTATTAACCAAATATTAATATAAACAAATATTAATATTAACTTTCCGCAGGCGCGTTCATCATGTTCAGCTTTCGCGGTTATAAAGTGGTGTCATACGAAGCATGCCTACAAGAGAACACGAACTGTGTTCAAAAATGGGGTGCTCATTCAAGCTGCAGTAGTAATTCGCTACTGCAGAAGCCGGACTCGTGAGCAAGTCTCCATTGCCCCGCGGAACCCCAGGAGGTCTGCAGTGGAACGGCACCGACTCTGATTATCACGTGCAGTCAGCGCCGTCTGCAGACGAGCACTAGCCCGCGGAACCCCAGGAGGTCTGCAGTGGAACGGCGCCGACTCTGATTATCACGTGCAGTCAGAGCCGTCTGCAGACGAGCACTAGCCCGCGGAACCCCAGGAGGTCTGCAGTGGAACGGCGCCGACTCTGATTATCACGTGCAGTCAGCGCCGTCTGCAGACGAGCACTAGCCCGCGGAACCCCAGGAGGTCTGCAGTGGAACGGCGCCGACTCTGATTATCACGTGCAGTCAGAGCCGTCTGCAGACGAGCACTAGGCCCATTCCAGAGTTGGTCTCAGACTTGTGCCAACACACAAACTTGTGCAGCTCGCAAATGACGTCCTAAACATGCGGCAATCGAGGATCATCGCTTTGAAAGACGGCCAGCCCAGCTCCGTTACTGGGATGAAACACTTGCAAGCCGGCCTGACACCCCAGATGTCACTGAGTGCTGGCTTCTATTCAACAAGTATTGAGAGTTAGGCTGCTAAAAGTGCAACTTCTGAGCCGGCAAACTTGCAAAGCGCGGGAAACAAAACAGCGTTCAAGACCGGGCCATCCAACAAAGTTGCCTTGATGCCTTTGCATAGGTATACTGGGCTGTCCAACCAAGAATCACATCAAAGTTTCAATGTTTATTTTATCGGTTCTTTGTGTAGATTCCCACCAAGAAGCCTTCATCTCGACATAGCTGTCCCATGTATGTATTCATGCACTGCCTTCTCTGCATGAATTATCTGTTTACCATGATCAGAAGTCAACATTTCCCCGAAAATAGTTTTGTCCTTTAATTCTTAAATGTGATATTTGTATCCAGTTATGTCCACGTCATAACCGTGGGCTCAAGGTTCAGAAGCATGGCGAGTTATTTCCTTCTGAATGCACTGGAAGTCATTCCCATGGTGATGATCCTATCTTGTCAAAAATCCAGATTTAATTTATTTAGTTGTGTTCTTTGCACAACCCTTGTTGAAATTTTGTCGCGAGATATTCTGGATCCTGCCTAAATTCTAACCTTGGGCTGAAGAAACCTTCAGAATCTCGGATCGTTTCCCAAGCCTTTTTCGGATCAAAATTTTATTCTTACTTTGTCCAAGGAGTCTCCAGGAGCCAGACTCTCTCGAGGCATAGGCACAAGTCTGATCTAAGAGACTAAATAGGTGTCTAAAGACTAATGAGTGCGCGTGCCACTCTGGTCATCATTGCGCTATTATCGAAGAGATATTCACGCATTTCGCAATACTCATGCAATACCCATGGCAGTGGGCTAGGTAGGTCCACTTAAGCGTGCTTTTTTAAGGAAATCGTCTAGAGGGTGTGCTTGTTTACGAATCTGAGATGCAAGGATGCGAGACCCGCAGAATCTAAAGAACTAGCAATCCCAGCTAAACTCATCATGTTATATTGTAACAAATAAAAACTTGCGTCAAAGATGCTCACAAATTAGAAGGCCGCATTTCACACTGGCATCCTGAATTGAGATCTAGGGCGAAGTTTTGCTAAATACGTGGGGAAAATAGCTTGGCAGGAAAAACGATTGGGCATTTCGATGACAAAGATGTTGTATGACTATTCATGACTATTTATGCGCAGCTACAAACTGTTAGCTCACTCATCACATTTGCCGCGAGCTCGAAGCCTGACGATGCGATATGCAGTCGAGTGATGCCACTGGTATCAACTTAATCACACCGGCTCTGGCACTGGGTGCCGTCCAATTGTAGTTACGACCACTTCCAAAGAGTTTTCAAAAGCGCACCTCCACTCCTAAACACCAGGAAAATTGTTGTCGCGCAGCACTACCAGGGCACCAAAGCGAGCTTAACGCGTTAAAATGTCTCCACGTGCGCCACTACCCTGTCTGACATCCGTTACCCAGCCACCTCAGTTTCTCATCTTCCAACTATGGCACCTTCAAATGCCACTTCATCCAGCCCTGTAGGAGTACTTCAACCACTCCTAGGCTGCACATGTCCGACATTTCACGGCCGGGGCAACGCGATTGGACATTTGTCATCGACGATCACCCGAAAATGGGCGTGATATCATCAGTTGTCCGACAGACGGATGCCCTTTGGATGCGATCCAGGTCCGCCGCAAAACGATTCCGTGAGAAAATTGCGAGTCGGCTGCCCCGCATAACGCGGGAGCGGTGCGGCACACCCTATAGGACTTCCGAG